ACTGTAGAGTCAGCTTGGTAAGCTGTCTGTTGGTTTTCCCTCAAGGGTCCAGCAGTTCGGGAGAGTTCTTCCGTTTTAATCTGTTGCTTAAATTGCTCAAACCCTTCTCCCAGACTCAGACCCAGAATACATTACTTAGTGAACTTTGTTGCCAGGACCAGAGAATTTCAATTAGAGGTGGCAGAACGTTATTACAGGTGCGACAAGCGCAGCCTTGACAAGGAAATTAACCAGCGAGAAAGGAAAGGCGAAAATAATAAACAGAGCAACAACCTTCTTTGTTAAAAATGATAAAAAACAGACCAAGTGCATGAAATGTTTATAAAAACTTAAAGCAGCTTGCTGGCATTTCATTTGTCTTGCAAAAGAGCAAGCTCATTGTACATTTTAAGCCAAGAAACAAACATGAAATATTTAAAATTTCAGTTCAGAGAATACAAGCAACAAATGTGCTTTTCCTGTTCTGCTCTGTTTGTCTTGTTCTTGCTAGAAGTTAATAAAATGAAGACATATAGCCAAGAATTCTACTTGCCTTTCTAAGCCAAAACCTCCGCCTTTTGCTTTGCTGTTTAACCCTTTTGGAATTTGGTTACTAATTGCTAAGCCACTAATTACTAGAGATAATGACGATGTCCATTATGGGCTGTCCATGTTGTTGTTATTGTTGCTGCTGAAGTGTTTGATTAAATGTATTTATCTCAGGTTGGCCTCTGTTATCTTACCCCACTCGGCCTGTCTGTGTATCGCATAACACAATTAATAACATTATCCGTTGAGCTTTAAGGTCTGAAAATATTGGGCGAAAGCAGCGGCGAGATATTTCTACCCACCTTGTTTCATAATTTACTGGGATTATTAAATTCACTTTTTAATTAAGCTGACGATTGAGAGAGAGCCGCGCACAAAATGCCGGAGGTCATGGCTTTTACTTTACGGGATTTTAAAGGTATTATCATAGTCTACTTACGAGAGCTTCAATATGGCTTTAACTTTCAAAAGGCTGCGTAATAATTTGGTTATTAAAACACTTTTTTAAAAGCAAAAATCTTTAAAAACTTACAAGTTCTGCTTTCATTTTGATAGGCTTTTCTCTGCCTTTTCAAGCCATCTTTTATTTATTCCCTTAGCCTTTGTTCCAGTAATACCAATATTGTCATTGCCTTTCCACACACACACGGGAGATTTTGTCATTTCGAAAAATCCCAACAGACCCGCTCATCAGTTGGTAATGCTTTGTCAGGTTTGCATCGTTTAATTGGGCCATTGGGAGGGGTTTTCCCATCTTGGTCGGCTTTGTTGTTGTTCCACCTTCTGTGGAACCTCTGCGACCTTATCATTGTTTGGCTGAAAAGGTCAAGGAACAGCTGGAATTTGTAATGGCAAATTGCATTAGCTACGAATGCTTGCTCAAAAATTAGCCGAACTTGTAGAGATGAAATTCAATTGAATCGAGCTCGAGTCAAGATTGTTGCAAGGTTCACTGAACGGGTAGCAAATGCTTTAGGTAATTAAAGAGTTTTTCCTTGGCAACCAATATATATGTGAGAAGAGGGCTTAAGGAAAAGTTTAAAAGACTTTCAAGGGTGGGCTTAATCAGAAGTGCACAGAACTCCAAGTGGTTGCAATTTAACAGATGTTGAAGGCAACTTGAAAAGTTGGGAAGAAGTTTAACTTAAGGTTGGGCAAAATTTCAATCTGATATGGTAATGATATTAACCGCTATTTTCGCTTTCCTTGGAAATTTAATTCTCCTATAAGTGCTTGTATCTATCAACAGGCTTCTGTTTACCGTCTGCCAAAGTGCTGTTCATGCACATGCCGACGCGAACTCAGACACCTAAACTTGTTCTTCCGCTTGTTGACTTTTATTGAAAAAATGCCATTTTTCGTTTGCTTTTTTTTTCGTTTATTCTAACAATTTTGGAAGGAAGGGTTCTCCCTGTCACAGCTCTAGGCCAATGCAAATTTTCCACCCTCCACTGCCAGAATCCCTCTACTTAAAATGTCTGTAAAATTGTAATATAGCAATTATTTGCAAATCTTTGACATTTTTCGTCAGGGGAGGGATAAAATCTTAACAGTAGCAGTCAGCAGTAGAAACTTTTCTTCGATGCCTCCCCTTTATGCATACATTTTTGTTCTATTTTTAGTCGGTAAATGGAAATCTTTAACTTAAAATAAACTTGGCCAGCGAAGCCTTAAAGTGACGTCTTTCAACTTTGTTGAGCGACAGAAGAAATCCTAAGCACTGATGTAAACATTTTAGCCAGAATTCATTCTGATAGAACACAAATTGACTAAGGCCCATGTAAATCAGAATTATTAATACATATCAAAAGGATATTTTGTGAGAAATTAATAATAATAAATATGTCAAACTGATGGACAGCGTAATAGCTCTATTGAATTAATCCCATAAAGGGCAAAGTTCATTTGGTTTTGCAGGGCAAATATGTTTAAATATCTACAGGGTAATGCCAACAAGAATAAGTTCAATTAAATTCGTAAATGTAATTATTCAATATGAATAAATTGTCCCCCAAGAACGTTCTACCTTCAGGTTATTAACAAAACCATTTCTCAGTATCTCCCCTTCATTATTTCAAATAAGTGATTATCTTCACGTGATTAAATATTGATTGTGACCCTTGTCAGGTATTCATTTGACCCAATTTTTGATAACTCCAGCGAATGTCATTAGCGACTTGACTTGCTGAATTGAAACATCCATCAAGGTCTAGACAGTTTGTGCCACAAAATCTATTAATATTTATAACATTTGGACAATAATTAGCTGCATTCAATATTTATATTGTGTAGGTATAGTCAGGCACCGAAATAAACTGACAATGGACTATGAAAAATGTTCTTTCTGGTCGTCTGTCTCGGAGTTGGCCATATACCACGTGGAATACATTTTTGGGGTTTCTTTTCGCCACTTGAGATGTCCACTGAGATATGGGTTTTCTTTGGCTTTTCTTGTGGCTGGGAAAGAACGTGCCAAATGGTATCTTGTTTGGCTTTGTGCCCTTGATGTGCATTTAAATCTGCTGATTATCTTGATTTAGGTCTTCGATTGCCACTGCCATTGCAGTCCCTTGTCTGGCATTAAGTGCTATGAACTGTAAGCTGGCAAAATTAGATGCACTTCAATTGCTTCGTCGATTGCCAAGCGATGCAAGTAATATGTGCCCGATATGCAAATCTGCTTAAGTCAACAGTGTTTCCCAGACAGTCCGTACTAATTTTCCCTATCAAAAACTAAATCTTAAATTCAATTAACTAAGCAAACTGAAATGGCGGATAGTAAATACATTTTTGGCATATTCAAAAACTTTAATTGCATTTTTCAGAGCTGTGTTTGGCATATTTGTATATTCCGACATTATCTTGACGCTAAAGGAATGTGTTTTAGTTTGAAATAAACGAAATGCCAATCCATGTGTGTGGGTTCAGGGGTCAAGTCTGGTGTGCGGCCATCTCATGCTGAGTATGCGTGAAATGAAATGAAATCAATTTTTATCGGCCCAAATATGTTTCAATCCCCAATAAGCACACTTCAATAGCAACATTTACGGCCTATTTGCACCTGTCGTGTGGTAATTTCGTTTGCCAAAAAGAGGAATATATATGAATTTTAATATGACGAGGCAGGCACCCCCCATAGACAATGATTTTTTCATAGCCTGATTTCCAATTTGTGTCGCAATCATTTCCAGACGTGTGACTGCTGTCTACTTGTTACCTGTTTAACCTTCAGTTAACTTTAAAGTGCCGCCAAAAGTTAACCAGAATCTCATCAAAAGGTTTTCTATTTCGTTTGATTAAACTAGAGAAGCGCACGTGGGCTTAACTTTTTTTTGCTGATGATGTCTTGGCCTGCCTTCAATCTCAAACTTTTACCAATTTAATTAAGAGCACATGTCCTTTGTCTAAAGGGTTTCACATTTTAATGAGTTTGGAGAAAACGTGATATGTTTTGATAAAAAGCTAAACATACGTGCTTTAAAGTAACAGCTAGAAATGTGTTAAAATTTGCTAACTTTTAAGTTAAACTCTCGTTAGGAAAAGGAATTTCCGGTTGAAGGAAATGTTAATTGCACTCAAATGTATTTCCAAAGATTTCCGCGGTTCATTTGAAATGATTTTCCCACACCGTTTGACATCCATCAATGGGAATTATTCTGTTGTGTGCCAAAGAGCACTTCTCAGATTATCTGTTTTCAATTTCCGCCACATTTTCCACGAAATTTGCATATGTTCAGTCAAACAAAAAAAAAAAGAGAACCGAACAAGAATGGTACAAATTTTGGCATTTTCCTTCCGTTTACTCAGCATGATATGTAATTTAATTCCCATTCAGAAAACGCCAGCATCCCACAAAAGGTGTGTGTCCTTATATAGTAAACATAGTAGGTATGCAAATCAGAATGTGTTCAGCGATTTGGATTTAGTGGGCGATGTCAAGGTGCCGAGAAGCGTTAAAGCTGATGACATGGAAATGTCGAGATAAATGGAAAAACAAAAAGAAAAACCACAGACGAAGCCTTATAGTACAAATTTTTGTTCAACTTATTAGAGCGTGGAAAATTCCCTTTAATTGCTTATTACTTTTCTTGCTAATTTTTCACTTAGCTTCATCAGCATAAACTTGCCGGCTGGAATGGAAATGAGCATCATAAATTTATACTCTTATATATAAAGAAGGCGAATTACTCTTTTTTCTTTTTGGCCATCTAACTTTTAAGGCGAACTTTAAAGATAAACGGAACCATGTTCGATGGCCAACAGGTTTGAAGTGCAACTTGTTGTGTTTTGAGTGCCAAAATCCCCAACTTGAGTTTTCCTTTTGACCCGCCGTCGTCGTTTCTTGTCCTTTTGGTGAAAACTCCGGCATCGGCTGTGGGTTCGTACAATTCGGTTCGTGTGCGTATTGCCAACAGTTCAACAGTTGTGCCAGCCGAAGAAGAACCAACTGCCAACAGTTGATAACGGGAAGTCGTGCGGCAAGGATGCTTAGCTGCCTCATCTAAGCCGAAAACTGAAAACCAGAAAAAAACCCAGTGAAAATACAAGAACTAAAAACCTACGAAAAGAGAAATATTCAAGCCAACTCGCTAACGGACTTTTAATTAGATTTTTACATGGCAAAGTTTATTGTGGCCCATGGCTTAGTGAACCGAAATAAAACTATATTAATACAAATTTTCCTAGAATCCCCTGTTTGGGACGTGAGTGCCGGAAGGCGGTTTTCCTAATTCTCGGATTCACAGCACCTGCGGGTAACGCGCACATTTATTACAATTAGACTTTTAATGGCTGAGAGAGTGTCCCCTTTCTCTGCTCACCTTTTCGAATTGTATTTTTATGTTACCTCCTGATGAGGGGTTCCTTTCATTCGATTGTGGTTAAGATGATCGCGTGACGTGAAAAGGGGTAGTAAAAACTCTTTCACAAGAAGTTATAAAAGTTGAAAGGGAAGGTTCTAATTACTACTCTAATAACGTTATTATAATCATGGTAGTTTGCATGGAAAAACGAAGGGAATGCCAATTTGATGTGTTTATGTGTAAAAGGGAAAGTTTTTTCTAAGCGTAGAAAGTTCGTAGAATAACGAAACGAAAAAGGTTTATATAATATTTTGATACTGAAATTAACCCTTCTATAATTCCCAAATGTTTTCAAATCACTTGGCATTTCTGTGGTAAGCCCTCTTCCATTTCCATTCAAAGGTCGCGACCTGTTCAATAATTGCTCGCCGCCATCTCTGTTATTTTTTACGAGGCACGTGTACAATGGAACAGGACACCTGGGACTCGTTGTTTTTCAAATTATTTTTACAGAATCCTTGCCTGTAATGCGCAATTTAATGCCTGGCCACAAAAGGTAATCGGTGTCCAGACATAATTTGGTTATTAATTTTAAAAGAATTTTAGGCTGGCTAATTTTAGCATTTGTAAAATTGTCCTGAAAAAACGGCAGGGAACCATAAAAAAGGGAACATAAAATAGACAGGATATTACGAACACAATGTCAAAGGAGCGGCGACCATAATGAGAGACACTTAACAAGGTCCTTTGATGGACACTCTTGGGCGAGATAGCCCCCGAGGCATAGAAAGAGAATTGTATAAGAAGCCAGTTAAATGGACTGTGGGAAAGTTCTTTTCCCCGCCTGACAGCTAAGAGCATTTTCATCAAGTGTTTTGAACAGAATTCTTGATGCCTTGGCCAAGCCTTTTTTGGTCAGCGATTGTGCGAAAACATTTTATCTGGCATTTTGCAAATTAGCAAGCAAGCCAAACAGCATTTATGCTTAATGAATTTTTAATTGATCTGACTTTAAGTCCTGCCGTGAGCCCAGACTCGAGTGGCCTTCACTTTGACGTTTCCTAGAAGAGGGTCAAGTAATTTCCGGTCTTCTTGAACTCCAAAATGTCAATTCCACGAAAATTAAGTTCAACAAAGCCAAGTCCCAGGCTAAATAATCAGACACCAAAAGGTTACGAAAAGTTTCTTTCAAAAACAATTACGTCAGTGAAAAGCCAGCTGTAAAGATTTCCATGTCCATGGGTTTATCGAGACTTTGTGTGGCATTTACTTAAGCGGTCATAATTTATCACCACTTCTTTGACACATTAACTAAAATAACAACATTCTTAATTACAAACCTCGCTCAACCGAGAGATTATTTATTAAAAAAAGAAAAGAGCAGACAGCTGAAAACATTTGTCCCAAAAGACCAATCAAACCAGAAACCGTAAACACACGCCGTCTAAGATCAGGCTTAAGTCCAAAGTCCGTTGGCATTGTAAACAAAGAGAGACCCATACGACCCCTGGAAATTACACGCTCGATTCCTAAGCCAAAAGCTTGTCCCTTTAACTCACTCGCTCGGTCTAGAATAAAATATAAACCAGAAAAGGGAGATAAGTTCTTTGGGCCGAAATTTCAAATACTCTTGCATATAAATTAGTCCATTAAAATGGGTTTGACTGTGTCTTTAACATTTTAAATACATAAAAGGAGATAAACTGAGCTAGGTTTACTCTGTTTTGCATTTCAGTTTTAACTTTTAAGTATCTGTATAAAGGTTAAGTAATGATATTCTTATAAAAGGAGGGTTAATGTATGATTTCTGGGCCTATAAATAAACAGGGAATGCAAATTCAATCTTATTTGGATACCTTTAAGTTGAAGAAAAGCTCTATAAATTATAAATATATGCCAAACCCTCTCCCAATCTCATTATACCCCAAACAAGCAGAGGGTATCAAAAAGCGTCGGCCTACAGTTGCGCTTTTATTGGACACGCTGTCTTTTCCTTTCCTTTTTCATTATATCTGATGCCTTTGCTTGGCGATGGTATAAGCCTTGCCATAATGTGGCTGTTGTTGCTCGGCTTATGTGTCGTATGCGCAATGTTCAATGATATTTAAAAGGACGAGAACGTGGGCGCCACATTTCGTTGTCAACTGGCCCGGTGATGGGCCAAAACTTTTTGTTTCCTTTTTTCTTTTTTGATGCTGCGCTACACGTTGCCATCCAATATGAATTTTCACTTTGATGTCCTACGCCCCACTGGCGGTCTCTAATAGGATACACTTTTAATAATATTCGCTGCTTGAACAACAATTTTCATTGAAAAATTTGTTATTCAATTCGGCCAGGTCTCAATTCCTGAAATTTCTCCACTCTTCCCTATGGCATGCACGTGCGAGCCGTGTTGCTTGTTTGTGCCAAGTCAAAAGTCTGTAAATTTTCGCAAATTAATGGTTACGTCCTGGGTGACATGAATCCCTGTTGCTTTGTTCTCGAGTGTGTTTCGATTGAATTTCATGGGAAATCTACGGCAGCACTTTTCCCGCCAGCTTGGGGTTTTAGGCACAGAGGAAAAATATTAGCCGTTAAGAGATTAAAGTATAAGTTTGGTAAATAATATTTCTAAGGAACTTTACTTCGGAAACGACATACTTCACTTTTTTATTTGCTGTGTACATTTTCAAAGCCAGCCACAAGCCAACATATACGTCAGCTTAATGGCCCGAAAATCTTTGGCTCTCAATTAGTTGACCATCAAAATTCAAGCCAAGCAGCAAGAGAGAGATTTTCCTTTGACGTTAATTAGAAAATCTTGGCGTCTCGCATGGCCAGACTAATTGCACTCACTGTGTACCATAAACGGATCCGACAGTTTTCCCGATTTTTCCTCCCCCTCTTTAGCCACTGAAAAATTGTATACAATTTTTCAAACAGCTCGCAGCGATTCTTTGCATGGGACAACCCACATGCAAACAGAAAACCACTTTCTGACTTGGTCTTGAACCTTTAAGCTGATGAAGCGTCAACTAAATGAGTTAGCGGTGGCGATGATATGCCACACACTGGCACACACACACGCACCCAAGTCACTTCAATGGAAATTTCAACAATGAACCAGAGTCACCATTTAGTTTTCACTTGAAAAATCGAATTAGGTCCTAAGCTGGCGTTCTTTCTGCTTCCCCGGCTGAGCCTCGCAAATGGGTCTAATTTTAGGATTTTGGGACTGCCAGCTAAAGAGGATTGGAGAGCAAATGCTAATTCAAGTGAACGCCTCGTTCCAACTCGAATTCCTGACCATAATACCTACGAAAATATTTCCACATATGTTTGCCTGCAACTACAAAAGAAGGAAATTTATGAGTGGTTTTTGGAGATTTTGTTGTCTTGCCTCAGGGTGGCTGCTTGTAGTTTTTGTGTCCGGTGTAATAAAACGATAATGTTTATGTTTGAAATTAGCTATATAATATTTCAGTTTATTTTTATATTCAGTATGTAAGAGGTAATGTGTAACTTTTATGGAAGTTAGCAGGATACGTTTGTGGATTTCTATTGGTTAAAAAGTTGTTATGATTTTTATATTATTTGATTAAAGTAAAGTGGAATGAATATTTCCGTTTATTAATAAGAAAACAATACTATTTTTATCCCCTACTACAAGCCTTCAATTTTTTATATAAACCCCCCTTTAAATCAATCTATAACAATGCCCTCTGACGATAAAATAAACATTTAGTTGCCCAATAAATTAACAAGTCTTGACAGTGTTTACACAATAGAAGATAAATTAACAAGTCCCCCGATGTTAACAATTCGATAAATGGTCAATTAACCGCACTGAGAATTTTATTCTTCATCATTCAATGAACTCTGCCAGTTTTTTTTTGTTTATTTTTAAAGAGCCACCCTAACACGTTTAGGCCAGTGCGTTGGCGTGACTTTCTAATAAAAACAAGAAAATATTATTAGTAGAGAAGCCGAACTGTTTTTCTGAGAAATGAAAATCTGTTGCAATGCCCACGGTGAGCAAACGAAAAGTGCTGGATTTTGGTGCACTTTCAATTATACAAAACAAACTTTTCACATGAGAAAGCTGACAGGTGATGCCACCTGAGCCATTACTCATGTCCACCCTCGCTGGAAGTGGTCAGTTCCTCGAGGGAAAAACTGAGATTGCTTGTGTTTTGACTTTTCAATGCTATTGCGGATCATTTGTTTTTCTTGTTGTCTGCATTCTTGATTTACACCGACCACAGACAACTTTTTACCAATTTCCATTGAAGTTGGAAATAAATGATGTAATTTATAACTTCCTTTTTCTTTTCAGATTGCAATGTTGCCCAGAAGTCAGTGAAGATGTACTGCACACCATAAACCAAGAAAGGTCGAACTTAAGTACAAGTTTTGGAGTATATTATATCCTCGTTAGGATAGTACAAGCGAAACAAAGAGATAGTGCCATGGCAATGGACCTAATCGAGCAGGAACCCCGCCTGGAATTTTTGCCCGGAGCAGAGGAGGAGGCGGAATTCGGTGAGCTTCTTCCCTTAATCCCTTTAAGCAGCTGGGGACACGAATCATTCACTTGGATTAAATTGAGTTGGCGTATCATCAATCAAAAACATTGACAAGTTTGTTTTTGTTTTGACAGTTCGCCGTTAGTTCCTTTGATCTTTGAATCATTCATGAGTTTCTCGCGTGCCGAATTAAACTCCAAATTTGTTCATTTAAATTTCATGAATTTTGTGTGAGTTAACAGGTGATATTCGGAAAGATGAAAAGTTGATTTGGTCTATCAATATACTATCTGGCTTATATACGAGGTGTGTTCAAAAAGTAAGGTGACTTTTCAAATTTCGCGGGCAACATATTTTCGATTATCGTTTTTTTTGTTTTGTTATATTGGTACACTCTTCCCTAACATCTGTACCAAGTTTCAATGGAACATCCTCTTTTGTTTGGTTGTGAGAGGCGTAAAGTTACAAGTTGTTTTGCGAGCTCGGCGATTTTTTGCTTTTTTCGGTCTTGGCTCGTCTGGGCTCTTCCATTGGGACGATTGGGCTTTGGTTTCGATATCATAACCATATACCCATGATTCGTCACCAGTTATGACCCTTTTGAGTAAATCTGGGTCGTCGTTGACGTCATTCAACAGCTCTTGAGCGATGCTCATGCGACGGTTCTTTTGCTCAAAATTCAGCAATTTCGGAACAAACTTCGCTGACACACGACTCATACCCAAAACGTTTGAAAAAATTTCATGGCACGAGCCAAGCGATATACCGACATCTTCAGCAACTTCTCTGATAGTGATTCGACGATTTTCCAAAACAATTTTCGTCACTGCTTGAACGTTTTCATCAGTTGTTGACGTGCTTGGGCGTCCAGAGCGAGGCTGGTCATTGGCATCTTCCCGGCCATCTTGGAAGAGTTTGTACCACTTGTACACATTTTTTTTACTCAGAACAGTTTCACCGTATGCCACTGTCAACATTTCAAGTGTTTCAGAGCACTTAATTTTATTTTTTACACAAAATTTGATGCAAATCCTTTGATCCATATTTTTCGATAGCAAAAAATCGCCGAGCTCGCAAAACAACTTGTAACTTTACGCCTCTCACAACCAAACAAAAGAGGATGTTCCATTGAAACTTGGTACAGATGTTAGGGAAGAGTGTACCAATATAACAAAACAAAAAAAACGATAATCGAAAATATGTTGCCCGCGAAATTTGAAAAGTCACCTTACTTTTTGAACACACCTCGTATATTTACATTATTTCTATCTCTGTGGGATTTTAAATCGGATTCAATTTCCTTGACGTTTGCCACTCAGCGGGGATGTCAATGTCGTCTGCCCTGCCAACGACTGACTGACACATGACACTTGAATTAATCTGCTACTGTCATCCTACCGAGATTTTTCACAACTTCAGCACTGAAACTCGGGGTTTTAAAAAGTCAAAACGGGAAAATGGTTCTTATTTTTGTGGTTAAACAGCGAGTGTTTTTGCGCAAATATAAATAGATTTCTATTAATATTTAGTCGAAAATGAGAAGAAAATTATCCCTTTTTTAGAGTGATATCCCATCCATAGCCATAACTATTTTTCAATCCACTTTACAGAACGCTTGTACGCTGCTCCCGCTGAGATTGTGGCCCTGCTGTCCATCTTCTATGGCGGAATCAGCATCGTGGCTGTCATCGGCAACACTCTGGTCATCTGGGTGGTGGCCACCACCAGGCAAATGCGGACGGTGACGAATATGTATATTGCTAATTTGGCCTTTGCCGATGTGATCATTGGCCTCTTCTGCATACCCTTTCAGGTGAGTTAGCTCCTATACGGTGTGTAATTGAATTACAGGTAACCAGGCCTACGTTAACTGGCTATAAAGTGAATGCATTAAAATGCATTATGCTGAGCTGGTAAATGGGTTTTGACTTAAATGAATTCTGTATGGGCATAAATCACACAAGCCAGCAGCATTAGCATTAGTTTTCACTTATTTTCGCCCCTATAGATATAGGTAGTTGTCCTTAATGGACACAAACACACAGATACCGCATTGCACAGGGCTGAGGGACATCAATTTTGGACATAATCCAGCATCAATTTAATTTCCGGATAGCGAGCGCTCATGTTTGGAATTAGAAAATTGGCACAGCCGCCCCCCAATCTCATTTCAACGCAATGGCAGTGGTAATGGAATATTACCTACATCAAATTTAAATGCGATTTTCGGTTTATGTGTTAATGGGATTAGTATTCGGTATAAGCCACTGAAAATGAAGTGCTAAAAGCCAAGTGACCAATTTTCTCAGCTCTCTTTTTCTTTGGCGGCAGGCAATGAAAGCGCTTTGAATATTTTGTATGCGATATTGGGAAATTGTAAAGCGATTATCAGCAATTCCATTCACTGTTGTTAGTCAGGGGAAAATGCATACAAAGTTGGCTTTGAAAAAATGCTGGTAAATAGTTGATAGAGCAACATAGTTGCTCGTTTTATAGCATTTTTTTGTTTGTTTTTATTTACAAACTTAATGACCTTTAAAAGTTATACAAAATAAACAGCTTTAGTAACTCATTGTTAACAATTTTAGTTAAATTTTCATAGACTCTTTTTAATAAACCCTTCGAGCCTTGCACTTGACCCCAAGGCAGCCTTCACTTTCCGCACATAATTTTTATTAATTCCGCAATCAAATACAACTTTGGCCCTGTCATAGCCGTCAGTGAGTGTCATCAATAATCTAGCGAGAAAATTGCAATTTGCGGCGGCAATTAAGTGGAGAAAGCGAGTTCCTCAAATATCCGCAGTAACCACACGCACACGTTTCCACTCCCAGCCACGTAAATCAGAGTCCAACAATATATATATTTGCTCTCAAATTGCTGGGACAGGGCCAAAACAAAACATCCTCCAACGATTCCTGTTGTTTGGGGTCCAGTGTCCATTAATGATGTTTGCCATGTGACTTGAATGGAGTCGCAATTTCGGGTTGATTTAATCATCGCGCATCGCACCGACAGTCGCACGTGCTGGCCCTTTTTATGTGCACTGAGAAAAGCGAATGGGAGGTGTGGAAAAATGTTTATAAAAAATCATATAAAATTCCTGATATAGAGGCAGAAAAGGGTTTAACCTTAAAATATAGGCTTAAACCCTTAAAGGTAACTTTTTAAAATGATTCTTTCAAAGGTTAACCTTTCTTGCAGAATTTCCTACTTTAAAATAATAAATGAGAATATGTAGTAATATTTTCTGTATTTTTTTCCCCATGTAGTTCCAGGCTGCTCTGCTGCAGAGTTGGAATCTGCCGTGGTTCATGTGCAGCTTCTGCCCCTTTGTCCAGGCCTTGAGTGTCAATGTCTCCGTATTCACGCTGACCGCCATTGCAATCGACCGACATCGAGCCATCATTAATCCACTTAGGTGAGTAGAGCCCTACCCGCCCCCCACATATCCGAAATGCGTTTCGAGATTGGAGAGAATCATTAAAAATCGGCTTACACATGCAGGGCACGTCCTACCAAGTTCATATCGAAGTTCATAATTGGTGGAATTTGGATGTTGGCCTTGCTCTTTGCTGTGCCCTTTGCCATAGCCTTTCGGGTGGAGGAGTTAACCGAAAGGTTTCGTGGTAAGTTAATATGATTTGCATGGATTAAGTGCCCACGACCTTACCTTAATTTTCACCTTGTTTTACCCGTTAAATAGAGAACAATGATACCTTCAATGTGACGAGACCATTTTGCATGAACAAGAACCTATCGGATGATCAACTGCAATCCTTTCGGTATACCTTGGTCTTTGTGCAGTATCTGGTTCCATTCTGCGTCATCAGCTTTGTCTACATTCAGATGGCTGTACGTTTGTGGGGCACTCGTGCCCCTGGAAACGCACAGGATTCACGGGACATAACCCTGCTGAAAAACAAGAAAAAGGTGAGTTTCCAGCACGGGAATGGCAAATCCGTTTGGGATTTAATTTCCTCTTTTGCTCTTCCCCTCGCAGGTCATCAAAATGCTGATCATCGTGGTCGTTATCTTTGGCCTGTGCTGGTTGCCACTGCAACTCTATAATATTCTGTATGTTACGATACCGGAAATCAACGACTACCATTTCATTAGCATCGTCTGGTTCTGCTGCGACTGGCTGGCCATGAGCAATAGCTGCTACAATCCCTTTATTTATGGCATCTACAACGTAAGTAAGAGTCTGAATGATGATGATGATGATTGTGTGTCCTGTTTGTCGAGTGTTTGAATTTGAATTTGCATTTGCCTGTCTGGTCTTGGATTTGCGTCCTTTTGGCTCACAGTTGTTCCACAGGGACACGTTTTTCTGGGGTCACACTAAAGGGATATGAGTCTATAAATGGGAACTAAATTTGCCAGGGAATAGTGAGGATTGATGTGGGACTTAAGGCTGTTTTTCGTTTAGTTTTGGGCATTTGTGTTTCTTGGGCGGGGAGTCAAATATTGACAATGGGATTTGGCAAATAAATTCCAGGCACACGGGAAAAACCTTCTGACCTACTTCGACTGGCCTTTTCCCTTGTCAATATAAATGTCAAATTTTCTTAAATGGTGAAGTTGTTTTCCAGAATTGGAAGTTCTAGATAGCAATTTATCCTTTATTAAAAATGCATTTACTCTTTAAGTATTTTCTTTTTGACTATTAACACCAGATAACTCAATTTCTATTCCTCATCTAGAAGTAAAATAACCTTCATTGGCGTTAATTTTGTAATTTGGCTTTTCCTATTATCTCATCAAATCAAACACAAACAAGCAGCGAAAGTAAATGAAACTTTTATGGAAGTTTTATGGGCTCGCAACTCAAAAAAGCAAAGGAATGAGGAAAATTCGTCTCACTTAATTTCATTGTGAACGAATCGATTACTTTGTTGATTTTTTCCCCATTTTCCTTTTCACTGATTTATTAGCATCCGCGTGGTTTTCTTCTTCTTTTTTGCAAAAATAAAATCCGCCTTACTTTGAAACAATTTCCAATTTCTTTTCACCGTAAAACCAAAAATAGCTGACACAAGAAAATACTTTGTGAAAGTTAATTAAAGCATCGCTCCACTGTAGCCAATAAACAAACACCTACAGTCTGAGCCGCAAAATGTAGGCAAATCCACAAAAATCTTCGAAACGGCAAAGTGGCAAACCGATAAAAGCGAGGAAAAAAACCCCCTCGGCTGTTTGCTTTGTCACTTAAATTGTCTGTAAAAGATAGATTGAGAGCGAGATCTGCGAATCTGCTCGTAAACTTTTTCCTCAGCCGGCTGTTCGTGGAAACTTTGTCAACAAATATTCTATTTTACTGTCAGCGCAGAGACAAATGGCATTTGTCAACGGAGGTTGAGGGTTTTTCTAGACCACGTTCATTAGCCAAAAATATGCCTTAGCTGGCGGCAAGTTTTCGACTGTCTTGAAATTTTTCCTGCCACTTTTTCCACTTTTTAATTAGCCAGAACGAAGACTAAAAGTTTGATTCAGCAGCTTGTTCAGCGAAGGCAAATATCGAAAAACTTGAGATAGAAAGAACTTTTATTTTTGGCATATGAAGAAGTTTTTAAGGAAGATTATTTAAGCCTGAGACATTTCTAGTCTAAGTATTTTGAGCTGTAACATACTAACTCTATCGCATTTTCTCTCTCTGCACAGGAAAAGTTCAAGCGGGAATTTAATAAGCGCTTTGCCGCCTGTTTCTGCAAGTTCCAGACAAGCCTGGACGCCCACGAAAGGACCTTTTCGATGCACACCCGCGCCAGTTCGATAAGGTCGACGTATGCCAACTCCTCGATGCGAATCCGGAGTAATCTCTTTGGTCCAGCACGGGGCGGGCTCAACAACGGAAAGATGGGTTTGCATATGCCGCGAGTGCATGGTAGTGGAAATGGAAGTACCACTAACAGCGGGATTTACAACGGAAGTGGCGGTCAGAACAACAATGTCCATGGCCACCATCATCATCAGCAACAACATCAAAGTGTGGTTACCTTTGCTGCCGGGCCAGATGTATCGGGACCAGGTGGTGTTGTTTCAATGCCACCGTGGCGACGAAACAACTTTAAGCCACTGCATCCGAACGTAATCGAATGCGAGGATGACATGGCACTCATGGAGTTGCCATCAACCACACCACCGAGCGAGGAGATGGCCTCCGGCGGCGGCGGAGTTCAGCTGGCCTTACTTAGCAGGGAGAACTCCAGCTGTATATGCGAACAGGAGTTTGGCAGCCAAACCGAGTGCGATGGCACCTGCATACTCAGCGAGGTGTCGCGAGTCCATTTGCCCGTCGGATCACAGGCTAAAGAGAAGGAGACGCCGGGCAAGTCCCTGTGGCAACCACTTTAATTTTAACAAGAGTGATTTAAGTTGTAGTCGTGTTCCAATGGCATGTATTTGAAAAATTGTTTCTAGGGGAAAAAACTGTTAGCTGGCAGGTCAAAGTTGGAGTATATAACTTTAGTTTCCAGTCATTGTATATACATATATATTTCTCGGCTAAGAAGAACTTAAAACCAACTTAATTTGCCATTGGAACATGACTATTAACCTCTGTGATTTCGTCTTAATGAATTGTGATTACAAGTCCCATTGCTGATAATTGGTTTGCAGAAGGATAGGTATTGATAGAGTGTGAATGCTGGTCGTGAACCATGTACAGTATTATAATAATTCTAAACTTCAAAGAGCGTTCCTTAAAGCAGAAACTAAAGAACTTTTATTTGATAGTCATTCTTGCAAAGCCAAAACTCACCAAATTCGTATTAAAAGCAGAACAAAAAACAAAAATATTCAACTTAAATAAGCACCTGAAATCAATTAAGTAGCGTTAATTTAAATTATTTAAATAGTTATTTAACGAAATCCGATTATGTATTAAAAAACTGCACAAGCACCCAGCTGGATGTTTGCAAATGGAATGTACAATATTTGTCATTAAAAGAATAAAACAGAAAGGCTAATTAATGTAATTATTATTGTATTAAACTACCAAACGAAAACGAATAAACATTTCGAGTCATTAAGCAGAATAAAACCTCTTTTTTTTCTTTTTTTTTTTTGCTAATTACAATAAAACGCAATTTTTATTGTTTATGCGCGGGCCATAAATTGTGAAAATAAAAATGGTGGGCTATTTCCGCTTCATTTCATTGGGTTTAATTTATGTGCCGGGTTAAGCTTTTAATCTTTTTATGATGCTGCTCTGCCATAAATCTAGGAAATTAAGAAATTGAACTTTTCAGTTTTGAGTTTTTTCTACTTTTTACTTGAAGATTTTCAGTTAGCGGAGACTGCAACCGGAAATGGCCAATCAAAAGCTTAAGATGGTGGAAAAGCTTTAAAGTTTCTTGTTAGCGCAGCGAAGACATGGTTAAGCTTTAACCCTTAGTTGGTGCTGATTTTACTTTAAGTTAGTTTTTGTGGTGTAAAAAGGAAACTTCCTTTGCCTTAAGTTAGGTAAAAACAAACTTCACTCCGTTTTGGTAAAATAAATTGATCTTAAGCTGAGCTTTGTTTTACATTTTTACATACTTAAAAAACAAAGAAAGTCACGAATTTTTTAGACTATTCAAATTAAACCTTTTTACGGACTAAACTAAACTCCAGAAACTTATAACTTATTAAGGACAAGAATAATATTAACAAAAATAGAATAAAAATATGTACATGTTTTTCATAAATTTTTAACATTCCACTTAAATAGATCAAATGCTCTTTTCTAATTAAAATTTAAAGTCCATTTCATAACCTGCCCTCCTCCATTTGACCAACAGTTTTCCCCTAATACCCAGGCAAACAATAGTAGACTGAATGTGGACACTGACAATTGGCCACAAATATATGACGGCTGCAGCAACAACCACAACTATGTCACGCAATGAGGTATGCAGTTATGTGTGTGTAAGCAGGGTACACAGAGAGAAAAAGGAGATAAGTTACAGTTCATAGTAGCAGAAATGGTAAGTCTAACTCTTCTAGTGTCTGCAAAGAAAGCTGACATTGGTGATTTTTAATACCTTAATGTAACATATAATATTTTAACTAGTAAATAAGATGATCAAATAAATATTAACATGTCATAAGATCATCATCTTTTCTCTCACTGTATATGTGTATGTTAAAGTTGCGCCTCATTTTTGGCTTGCAATCAAACAACATATGCCGTGCACTATGTCACGCGACGAGCAAAGACCAACTGTGACGGAGGATACGTTCACGCACACACACACACACACACACAAACACAGACAGGACCACGCACACTCACACTCAAACACACACCGTCAGTTAGAAGGACACATGGTCACATGGACATGGCCGCATTGGCTGTTGATAATTGAATAATTAACATTGTTTAAAATGGCTCAACAAGCAGAATGGAAAGAGAGTGAAAGAGCAGAATGATCCACCGTCTCCCCATCGCCAGACATCCGGCGGGCCAGGTCATCAGGTCAAATGCAACCACAATGTCAGCCATGCCCCGCAGTCCACATTTCATGCTTTATATATATTATATATTTTTGTTGGAAAAAGTGCAAGGGGTTGTTGTACACACAAATAGATATAGTATAATTGGGTTAGAAGGGATATATATCGTGTGTACTTCATATTAAAATAATTGACTTGCGGTGGGAAAATCTTTTCGATACATGTCTGCCGTTTATTGATTAAAATCCCAGTTTTTAGTCGCATTGAAATTGAAAACTTGTCAATGTGCTTTTTACCCTTGAAGTGGACGGTTCGATTTTTGGATAAGCAAAACTATTTTCAAATATGCATGAAGGAAATCCTAAAAGTAGGTTAAGTTAGTAGTTAAGATAGATAAAAAATAATATTCTTTATTAAAACCCAAAAAGCTACTCGCAAGGCCTTCTCCTCAACCAGCTCATCGCGACGCAGCAGCAATGGCTGTGCCAGTGGCCATGAAGTTGAGGAGGACGAGGAGGAGCAGCTCTTCCAGGAGGCGAGCTCCAGTACAAGAACAAACAGCGTTGATGGGAGTGGTACCCAGTTCACTAGCAGTGTCAGTGCTACACCGGTTACGGATTTCTATAGCAATGCCACTGTACTCATTACGGGCGGTACGGGTTTCGTGGGCAAAGTGTTAACAGAGAAATTGCTTCGCTCGTTTGGATTGCGTAAAATTTACATGCTGATACGCAGCAAGGACAACATGAGCGTGCAGGAGCGCTTGCAGGGGTTTTTCAATGAATCGGTAAGTGTCAGGACAGGATGCGGGAGCCTGTCAGTTCTCATGCTCCATGCTGGCAAGGACAATGTCGGATAAAATGCCAACCGCCCAATACCCATTACCTATCCCGTAACAGATATTCAATAGGATGCGCGAGGAGTCACCGCAATTGTTGGAGAAGGTGCATCCGATACGCGCTGATTACAGTGCCATCGACCTGGACATTGATTCCGCCGACCGAGCAATGCTCTCGTCTGAGGTCCAGGTGAGTAAGTTCTGTTGATGTTCCACCAACTGTCTTTCCTCCCACCCCCCAATCACCTGTTCCTCGTCCTTATCCACATCCACGTCCACGTCCAACTCAACCACTCCTCGGTTGGCAATTCAATCAATGGACTTTTTGTGTGAGAAACTTTTCATGGGCCTTTGTTGTGTTTGCCTATCTGGATGGCTCCCTCGATTCCTGTCTGTTCCGTATCTATGTGCACTGTGAAAAATATTTGGTCGAAGGAACTTATTTTTAAAGACAAAATGTACCTAAAAATTTTAGGAATTTCCAAGGGCTTTATGTATAAATACTACTAAAACGTAAATCTAATAATTTGCTAACATTTTCCAACGTGTATCGTAACCTCCCTCTCTACACCTTAGTTTCTGCATTACGTATACGTAAAACGTTGCATGCCAAAGGCAGGCGCAATGTTTACGACAACACCAGCCAGGCAGTCAGTTTATTTCTTTCGTTTCTCGCCCAGTTTATTTTTACATTTTTTGCTTTGTTTTGCTGATCACAAGAGGCAAACGATATGTATGCATGGGCATCTATATATAAATATATATATATGTATATATTTTACTTTTCAACAAAAATTGAAAAAACCCGCCGCCACGTAAAACTGTGAAAATGTGTAGAGGCATCCTGGCGGTATTGCTGTGTTGCTCCTCCTGCTGGTTGGTTATAAAACACAATATATAAATAAATGAAAATTCCTGTGCATGCTTCAAGTGCTTGGCATGCGCGAGCCATTGTCCTGCCATCCGGGCGCATCCGCATCCGCATCCGCATCCCTATCCGCTTCCATATCCGTTGGTCGTTTTTATTTTCCTCTCTCTCTCTCTCTTCCTCTGTTTGGGAAAAACATTTTGCATACAAGTCACTCAGGCCTGGACGGTCTGCTTAGAGTCCGCTAGCACTGTTTTAAGCTGAAATTGCTTTGTTGTCGATGTTCAATGCACGCGTGGCACTGCAGAATTCCCGCCACCGCGTCCTATGGACAGGGCCTGCTGCCATCTGCCACAGCATCTTTTTCTGCATTTTGTGTGCTGACTTTGAGGTTATCATAGAACGCAGGCCAAACATTTCCCAGTAGAGCGCTGTCTAAGCGGTTGGCAGTGATGGAGGAGGTACAGTTTTGAGATAGATTACAGATTTTATTACCGACATAAGTTAATATTTAAACAAAAGTATTGAAAACTAACTTAAAGTTAGTATGGAGAAAGGGATGAAGTCTTGAAGAAGTAATATTACTATAAAAATCCTAATTAAATACTAGGAAAAGTACATGGCCTTAAGAATACAGTGTACCTAAATCCCTTTTCGTAAAATGTATCTATTGAAAAAGTACTACTGCCTTGCCATCACTGACTGCTGCTGTTTTGCATGCACATCTCTTGTGCATTTTGCATGAGATTCTCTCTGTTACTGGGCCCTCGTCTTTTTGTTCTTTTCATTTTTAATATGCATTACAATTCACGGGTCTGGTTTATCTTCTTCGCCTGTAGATTGTCTTCAATGTTGTGGCTTCGGTGAAATTCAATGAGAAACTGAGTGACGCTATTGACATTAATGTCCTGGGCACGAAAAAGATACTCGACTTGGCCATGGAAATGAAGCAGTTAAAGGTAAGGCTTGGAAAATCAACCAAAATATCAACAGTCAACAAATTGTCATTCACCGCTGCATATACATTTAAAGCCGATTAAAACCACCCACTGACATTATATGCCACCCACTTATCATGCCTGGCATTGGCCGCAATTCCATTAGTGAAAATAAACAACGATGAAATAAAAGTTAAATATTCACATATCGCGCTTTTAAGTAACCAAAATACATAATTCCCATGTCTGAATGCATGCGAAAATATTTGAGTATGAATTGTAATATTGACGAACTGTTTTCTCTCTTTTTCAACGCAAATTTTCCCCATTTTCCCCCCGAAACTTATTTGAATGTTGCATATTTTACGGCGTTGGCGGGCAAACAATTTCCAACACAATTCAATCAACATTCGACATGCGTGTTTCCCTACCGATTTTGATGTTCGCCGTTCACAATTTCCATTCTCCCACGTGGGTACCCATAGTCCTTCGTGCACATTTCAACACTCTACTGCAACTGCAATCGCAAATTCATCAAGGAACAAGTGTACGAGAACGAAATTGGCTACGAAAAAATCATGCAGGTTGGTAATGCTTACATAAAAATGTATAAAAATAGTTTGTGAATATCATATTTGATATGCAATATGACAGTTAACTTAAATTGGAATTTGTTTTTCCTCCGCACAAACATTTTTTTTGCAGATTTATCGCACTTTCGACGACGAAACGCTGGAGAAGATGCGGCACTGTCTAATTGGCCAGATGCCCAACACCTACACAATGACCAAGAAGTGTGCCGAGAATCTGGTAAATCATCGGGCATTCCACATGCCGGCAGGCATCTTTCGACCGCCCATAGGTGAGATGGTTGGGATTGGTTGGTTGGGCTGGGCTGTTGCATGAAATATTTATTGCGGTTGCAGACTTGACTTAACAAACTAATTGTCAGATAATTAGCACAAATGCCCAGGGGCAGGTAATGTGTAAACAAAAAACACACAAGAAACATTTTCTGCTCCTTGCTTGGATAGATCCCCTGGAGGATCTCCGTTTGGCAAAAAAGGAATATTTAAAATTTTGTGAAAAATGGCCAACAGAGTTGTCTTCATTCCATAGCAGGAGATATGGTGGGGAGGGGGATTCTCAGGGTTTACCAGATAAAATGCATGTGGAAAAAGTTTTTATATTTCGGGTTCGTTTTTGTATCTTTTTTTTTTTTGTGTGATTTTGTTTGCTTCTTTGTTTGTGCTGCTGCAGCAACAAAACGCAACGTAACGTAA